TTTAGGTCTATGATCCATTTTGAATTAATTTTTGTTTATGGTATGAGATAAGGGTCAAGGTTTATATTTCAGCATATGGCCACCCAATTGTTCAAACACCATTTGTTGAAAAGATTATCTTTGCCCCATTGAATTGCCTTGGTATTCTTTGTCAAAAATCAATTGATCATATATGCTGGATCTATTTCTAGACTCTTTACTCCAATACCACACTACCTTGATTATTGTAGCTTTCTAATGAGTCTTAAAATCAGGTAGTGTAAGTCTTTCTAACTTGTTCTTTTTCAAAATTATATTTAGACTAGTCTAGGTCCTCTGCATTTTCATATAAATTTTAGGATCAATCTGTCAATTTCTACAACAAAGTCTGTTGAAATTTTGACTAGGATTTCATTAAATCTATTGAACAGTTCGGAATAAATGAGATCTTAACAATATTGAATCTTTGCATCAATGAACATAGTATCTCTCTCCACTTATTTAGATCATTAATTTATTTCATCAACATTTTGTCATTTTTCAGTGAACAAGTCTTTTATCAAATTTTTCCCTAATGATTTCATATTTTGATGCTATTATAAATGGTATTTTTCTATTTCAGTTTTCAATTGTTCACTGCTAATATAGAAATACAATTGGTTTTTGTATATCAGACTGGATCTTGCAATCTAGTTAAACTCACTTGTTAGTTTTGGGAGCATTTTTGTAGATGCCTTAGATATAGATGTCTACAATCATCTGTCTGCAAATAAAGACAGTTTTACTTCCTTTGCAATCTGTATGCATTTTATTTCTCTTAACTGCCATATTGAACTGACTGGTACAGTACAATGTTGAATAGAAGTGGTAAGAGTAGACATCTTTGCCTTTGCCTTGTTCCTGATCTTAGGGAGTATCATTCAGTTTTCACCATTAAGACATTACCAGTGGGTTTTTCATAGACGCCCTTTATCAGGTTGAAGAAGTTCTCTTCTATTCCTAGTTTGATTAGAGCTTTTATAATGACTAGGTATTGAATTTTGTAAAGTATTTGTTCTGTATCTATTGAGATGATCATATGGATCTACTTTTTTAGTCTGTTAATATGAAGAATTACACTGATTGATTTTTAAATCAACCTTTCAGGCCTGGTTATAAACCCCATTTGGTCCTGATGTGATATCCTTTTGATATATTCTTGGATTTGATTTGCTAAAATTTAAGAATTTTTGTATCTATGTTCATAAGGGATATTGATCTGTAGTTTTCTTTGTAATGTCTTCATCTGGTTTTGGTGTCACAGTAATGCTAACCTCATAGAATTGGTTAGGACATGTTCTCTTTTCTTCTATTCACTGAAAGAGTTTGTGTGGAATTGGTATTATTTCTTCCTTAAATGTGTGATAGAATTCACCAGTAAAGCATCTGAAACCTTGAATTTGCTTTATGGAAGGTTTTTAACTACAAATTCAATTACTTTAGTAGATATAGGGCTATTCAGGTTAGGTATTTCTTCTTGAGTAAGGTTTGGTAGTTTGTATCTTTCAAAGAATTTGTTCATTTCATCTAAATTGTAACATTTACCGGCATAAAATCATTCATGATATTACCTATTGTCCTTTTAATGTCTATAGGATCTGTAGTGATGTGCCCCCTCTCATTCCTAATATTGGTAATTTGGGTCTTTTTTTTCCCTCCCTTTGATAGTTCTGGCTTGAAGTTTATCAATTTATTTTTTTTCAAAGAACCAGCTTTTGGTTTCATTAATTTCCTCTATTGCTTTCTGTTTTCTATTTCACTTATTTCTACTATCTTTACAATTTCCTTCCTTCTGCTTACATTGGGTTCAATCTGCTTTTCTTTTTAAGTTTAAGGTGGAAGCTTAGGTCTTTGATTTCAGATCTTTTTTAAGTGTTTAATGCTATGAATGTCAATTTAGGAACTTTAGTTGTATCTCACAACTTCATTGGATTGTGTGTAGATTAAATGAGATAACATACATCCAGTCAGTCGGTAAACAAATATTTCAGTGTCTACTCCATGCCCTGCACTGTGCTTAGTACTAGGAATATACTGAATAAAATAGATGTAACATTTTCTCTCATCAAGTTTACAGGAAACATCGACAAGATTGGTACTAAAATCAATGATAACTATTATCTTCTTGATAATTAAAAGTATGTTAAGCTAGAAAGCATAACAAGTTTTTTGCTTTACTCTGATGAAGGTATCTTCTGCTGTTTTCTCGTGAACTAGCAAAAACTAAGTCACTAGGTTTTTCAAAGTTCAGCAATGTGTAGTTCCAACTGCGACACACACAAAAAATATTGTGAGGTAAATTCTATTACTCCATGTCCGTCTAAATAAACTATACATTTCAATTTAATATACCAAAGATAAATATCTTCTAAGTATTTCTGTTTAACTCTAAACTTCAAAGGCACTTTTAGATCTATAAAAGTGATAATTTAAAAAAAAAACAAGTATTGCATATATTTCCAAAGTCTCCAGATTGTTTTCTTAACAAAAAGGAAAAAAATATCACTTTCTCTATTCTACCTACGTGATCCTCACAGTTTCAAAATATCCAGAACTTTACCAAAAAAAAAAAAAAAAAAAACTCTACCTCCTAATTGAAGATACCAAAACCAAACCTGTTGCATTGAGTCAATTTCGACTCGTAGCGACCCTATAGAACAGAGTAGAACTGCCCCATAGGGTTTCCAAGGAGCGTTTGGTGGATTCAAACTGCCGACCTTTTGGTTAGCAGCCGAGCTTTTAACCACTGCACCACCACGGCTTCTAACTGAACAGAAATACATACAAATCATTGCTTTCAAAGTCATTTAAACGCTAACCTTATCATACCAAACACTCATGTTTTCCAAAACTCTATGTATAATTGATTAATTCACATAATTGTAGATATAGTAATTTACTTTAAACTCTGTTCTTCCAGTGGGACAATAAGCAGTTCTGCACACCTTCACCTAGTCAGGTAGCCTGGATCTTCCTACATTTATGCTTCTTCCAGTCCTCATCTCTTGGTCTTTATTAAGACACAGGCTCTCAACCTTGGCTGCACACTGGAATCAGTCGGGTAGCCAAAAAGTACTGATGTGGGCCTCCTACAGCCAGAGATTCCTATCCAGAGTCTTTAAAAATGGGGATTTTTAAAAGCTTCCCAATGATTCAAATGTGCAGACAGGGGTGAAAAAGACCAGTCTTGGTGCTGACAGGGAGGACATGTTTCTCATGGCCACAGGACAATATGTACTACCATGTTTCAGAACCAGGGCTTTGAACTGGTTCATTCTGGTTTGAACCTCTACTGAGAATTTGCATTTCCACACAAGATATACTGAATCAGAATCTACAGTTTAACAAGATCCCCAGGTGATTCTTATGTATGATAAATTTTGAGACCCACTGCTCTACCAGTGGTTCTCAGAATTGGTCCCTAACCAACATCATTAGCATCACTTGGGAGCTTGTTAGAAATGCAAATTCTCAGCAGGGGTATGAACCAGGTTCAAAGCCCTGTTCAGAACCGTCTTTCTCAAAAGCGTTGCTCAGCCTACCTCCTAATCAGACACAAATTCAATAATACCATTGTGATTCCTATGTTCACCTCTATTTCACATCCTTAGATTCAAAGGATAAAATGTAAGCTCCTAACTATATATATTTAACCATTCCTCTCCAGTCCACTTCTAAATTCCGTAAAGTAAGTTTGTCTAAAGGGGAATTAACTGCATATAATTTGATGATTATGGTTAAATAGGCATTACAGTAGGTTTCTTTACTTCTATTTAAAAGAAGGGGATAGCTCCACAAGCCATCTGTAATTTTAGAGCGTTAATAGTAAAAGTATCAACTCTCCAAAGTATAACATAAATACTTAAATGAGTTTTCATCATTATCCATCTGATCCCATCATTTGTTAATTTCAAACAGGTTTTCAATACTGATTTACATACTGAGTTGGAAACTGACTTCAGAACTTGAACCATTAAATTCCTTAGAGTCTTCTAACAGCTTACTTCATTTTACCAAACTAATTATAATTATCATTTCATCATCTGAAAGTAGGAATGATAACACCTGCGTCATAAAGACAGTACGAAGCTAAAGCATCTCAGCACTGTGTGGAGTACTCTAGAAATTTTAATCTATTTACAGCAGAAATGTTGCCTCATGGGAACTAAGTGAAAAGCTGAGGCAAGTGGGAAGTTGACGGGTAGCTACACGTCAATACACAGGAATAGCAGCAGGTGACGGGGTGCGGGAGCAGTCCATGAACTACTGACTCTTCTCAGACAAGTAGCAGCAGAAATCATGGTGCGGGACTCACACCTCTCAGATTGAGACTAAACTGAAGTTACTTGAAAACATATGTAAACCTCATCTCCTTGGAAAACTGCTAAATAATAAAACTTTGCCAACGTGCAGACCCAGGCACTCCTATCCCTGCCAGTGTAACTTTATGCATCTTTGGGATGTAATGGATGTGCATGCCGAAACACGTGTGCACGTCTGTGCGGCTGAGCCAACACGTATCCATAAACATTATGAATAATACTCTCAAGAACGTATGGCTTTCTCCTAAGAAGCGCTTGAAGCACTTTACCCAAATCAAGTCACTTTCATATTACACCTTCCTTGCCCTTCCTTCGTATTTATTACCCGCGTGCTGCGAGTTCGGGTTCCTCACCCAAAGTCTGGGAGGGCGTGAGTGACAGCCCCCGTCCCCTGTCCCATTTCCCATTAGTCCGAGCTACCCCGAAAGGGGACTATGTCCAGGCCAGCTTCCTGATGACACACCTGCACCCGCACACACCCACTGCGGCCGCGTCACCGATGCCGCGGCCACCTGGGCGACGACCAAAGTCTGGAGGGAATTCCCTCCTTCGCCGAGCTCCGGAAGACGCTGGGAAAGCGGTACCCGGGCGAATTTTGAAAAAGTGGAGGGAACTAGAGGGTGCCGAGTAGGCAGAAAGGTGAGGGTCACGGCTACTCACCCAGCCCTCGAAGGTGTCCGAGGTGCCGGCCGTGCGCAGCAGCTCCTGAAATTGCAGGGTGCAGTTGGCCACGAAGTGGTCGTAGCCCAGGGGTGTCTCGTGGAAGACGGCAAGCTCGAGGTGGCCGCCGTCGGTAACATTGGCGCAGAATTCCTCATTGTACGTGGGTTTGTTGGTCTTCTGCTTGGTGCTGGTTTGGCCCACGCGCACCTGGTCCACGCTCACCGTCAGGTAGGGGTCCAGCAGTTGGTAGCCCTTCTTGAAGAGTGAGTGGCGCAAGGACCAGCGGGTGGGCTGCAGCCCCACGGCCTCGGCCTCGCCGATGCGGACCCTCATGTAGCCATTGAACTTCATGGTGCTGGACGACATGCCGGCGCCGCTGCCCCGGCCCCGGGGGGTCGCGCCGGGAGAGCAAGGAGCTCCGGCTCAGGCCAGCCCTCGCGGCAGTCGCAGGAGTGGAGGCAGCTCCGGGGAAAAGCAGCGCCCAAGACCCTCTCGACCGGCCATTCCACCGACTCCCCGGGACCTGTCCCTCCCCTCCTTCCCTCCCTCCCTCCCTCCCTCGCTCCTGAGGTGGAAAGGAGGGGAGCCCGGCTCCGAGCCCTCAGAGGGCAGGAGCAGCCCGACCGTCCCTCTCGAGCGCTCAGCGTTTCCCGGGGGCTCGCGCAGGACTCGCCCCTTCTCCAGGAACGGTAAGCTTCTTTCCCCGGAGAGCCGGAGAGACCCGTCCGGTTAGCTCCAGCCCCAAGCGTCTTTTGCCCCCGCCTCCTCCTGCTTCTCCTCTTGCCCCCGCCTCCGCGGGCTCACGCTCTCCCCTCTTCAGCGAGCTTCAAACCAGGAAGCTGCTGCAGTCGCATCCCCAGCGGGAGCCTCGCGCTACCGGGCTCCAAGTTCACAGAAACCCTGCGCCGGCTCCCGCGTCTTCCGGACGCCGGGGGCGTGGCGCCAGCCCGTGGCCCAGCCCTGCGGTCAGTGCCAGGGCGCAAGCCGCCGGGGCGTCCCGCGTCTGCTCGCTTCCACCGCCCCGTGCGCGCTGCGTGCTGCGCGGGGTCTCACGGTGTGCTGCGGTTTGAGGCTCCCCCAGGTGCAGGCCAAAACGTGGAAGAGCAAACACCTGAGGCATGGAAGACAGGCCCGAGGAGGGCTGGAAGGCGGGGAGGATGCGGAGGAGGAGCAAAAGCGGAGAACACGGATAGCGAGGAGTCGCCGGCGCCCTTCCTCCCACTCTTCGCGGCGGGTCGGCGACCCTGCTGGCCCAGCCGGGAGAGGCCCTGGCCTGGCCGGAGGCGTGCGCACGGCAGGGAGTTTCCTTTTCTTAATCTTTAGATGATGGCTCATCCTGGGTTTAGCTCGGGCCCATCCTGCCTGTGGGCCTCTCCTGTTGTTTGTTAGGTGCCATCGAGTCAGTTCTGACTCATAGCGACCCTATGTACAACAGAAACACTGCCTGGTCCTGCGCCATTCTCACAATGTTTGAGACCATTGTTGCAGCCACTGTGTCAGTTCAGATCCTTGAAGCTCTGCTGCTTTTTCACTGACCCTCTACCAAGCATGATGTCCTTTTCCAGGGATTGGTCCCTCCTGATAACGTGTCCAAAGTGAGACAAGTCTTGCCATCCTTGCTTCTGCAAAGGGTAATTACACGGGGTTTGTTTGTTTGCTTTCTTTTGTTTTTTAATGGGGCAGTAGTAATGATGGAAATCCTGTCTGCCTCCTTCTTGGAGAGGTGTGTCTCGTTCCTCAAAGAGCAGGAAAGATCAGTTCTTCTGGAGACACAGGTGGCCGAGACTTAAGTCTCTTCCTCTGCGGGGTGGTTCCTGGTCCACCTGGATGGGTGGGCAAAGGATGTTCACACTATTCTCGTCACACGTTAGCCGAAGAAATCGCCTTCTTATAGGAAAATTTCACGGTTGTTACTGTTTGAGTCAGAGTGGACGGACAGCTGTTTCTTCCCACCCATGACTTCTGCAGTTTTTGTCCCCAGGAAGGACCTTGTGGCTACTCTGCTCTGTGGACCAGCATCCTGCCCCCACCAACCCCTACACTGCAAAGCTTGCTCCCTATAGGCAGCCACAACCAATTTGTCTGCCATAAAGCCTGTGACATTCTTAAGATAATTAATTCTGCCTTGCCATTCTGGTTCCCTTGGAGCAGGTCTTTCTAGCCTCCTTCTGACAGTGCCCTGTTGGGAGCTCTCAAACTGAGTAGATTCTCAAAAATTTTATGCTAGTGAATAAAGGCCTCACCAGTAGTAACTGCACCGTATAGAATGAAAACAAACAAGAACAATGGGTCTGGTGGGGGAGGGCATATCTTAAAAGCACCAAAGCTTCATTAGAGAACAGGGCAGGGATGCACCACATCACCCTAATGACACCTTAGCTTTGTACAGGGCTTGTAAAGCAAGCTCCCAAACATTCAGGGAGCTCTTGTCAGGCTGCAGTGCTCCAGGTGAAGAGGTCAAGTTGACCATTTTGGCCAACTCTGCCATTCTCTCCAAGGAGTTCAGATCTAGTTTTAAGAACCACTGACGGATTTGCTGCTGTTGAGTTTTGATACCAAAAGAAGACAGTCCCTAAATGGTGAGCAATTAGACAGCTGCTGGGTGTTGGGATGGAGGAATACCAGACACTCCATTTTGTCCTATATTTTGTCAGTGCCAGGCACCAGGGTAGGTAATGGCAACAGAGCAGCGAGCAGTACAGCCACAATGCCTGCCCTCCAGGGACTTAAAGTCCCACAAGGAGGATAAATAATAAATAGAAAATTATACATACCTGGTGCAGTGAAGGAAAAGCCAAGGTGCTATGGGACAATGTAACTTGGAAGGAGTGACCAGGGAAGGGTCCCTGAAGAAGTAAACAGCAGCAGAATCAGCTCATTTAGGGTTCCTGAGGAAAGGGACACCTTGGCCTATTTGGAGAACAGAGACGACTCCATCTGGCTGGAGCCAAGAAAGGTGAGGAGAACATGGATGAAATGAGACTGAAAAGGTGGGTCAAGATCCATCCCTGACTGGCCTGGTAAGCCACGGGAGAGACTTTGGACATTGTCTACAGACAACTGGAAGCCTCTGAGGCTGTTAAGCAGGACCAGGACGGGATGAAATTCATGTTTTAAAATTCTCTAGACCTGTGCAGAGAATGGATTGGAAGGACGAAGCACAGATAAGAGGAGAACAGTTAGGAGGCATTTGCCAAAGTCCAGAAGAGAGACCATGGTGAGTGGGACTAAGGTGGTGGTGATGGAGGCGAAAATAAGTAGATTAATTTAAGAAGTGTTTAGGAGGTAGTATTGACAGGACTTGGTGATGGATTGAATGGAGGGAATGAGGAAAAGCAAAGTAGCAAGGATGACTCCTCTATATCTGGCTTGAGCAACTATGTAGATTGGTAAACCATTACTGATGTACGAACAAATCTGGGGAAGAAGCAAATTTATGGGGCAAGATGAACAGTTCAACTTGAAACATGTTAAATTTGATATTTTTTTGATACATTTAAGTGGAAATCTGAAGTGGGCAGTTGGTTGTGGTTGTAAAGCCCAGAAGGACAGTCTAGGCTAACGATAAATTTAGAAGTCATTAGTATTTAGATGGCAATTGAAGCTAGAATAGTGGATGAGATCTCTGTTGCAGGAAGAGATAGGAAGAGTGTAAAAGGAGCAAATAGGACCTCAGACAGAGCCCCCGAGAAACTCCACCATTGATAGGTAGAGGATAGGCAAGCAAGGGGGTTGAGAAGCAGCCGCCAGAGGAATAAAAGAAAAACCAGGAGCATGTGGTATCCAAATATCATGAAAACCAGCTAAAAAGTTTTCAAGCTAGAAAGAATGGCCAGCTAGGTCAAATGATGCTAAGAGATTAAGTAAACAAGAACTAAAGAATACCATGTTAAGTGGGCAATACATGCTATTGTTGTTAGTAGCTGTTGAGTTGGCTCCGACTGATGGTGACCCTATATATAAAAGACTAAAACTTTGCCCAGTTCTGTGCCATCTTCTTGATCAATGGTATGTTTGGGTCCATCATTGCGGCCATTGTGTCAATACATCTCATTGGCAATGGATAGGTCCATAATAATCTTAGAGCAGTTTCAGTAGAGGGTTGGGGGTTGTTATGGATTGAAATGTGCCCCCCAAAATAAGTGTTGCAAACCCTAACCTCTATGCCTATGGTTATAATCCCATTTGGGAATCAGTTTTCTGTTATGTTAATGAGGCAGGATTAGTGTAGGGTGTGTCTTGAGTCAATCTCTTATAAGAGATAAAAGGAGCAGATGAGGGGTGGGGGAGATGCAAAGCCACATGAAGATCTCCCAGGAGCAGAAGCTCAAAGAGAAAAGGACCCTCCTCCAGAGCAGACAGAGAAAGCCTTCCCCTAGAGCTGCCACCCTGAATTTGGACTTCTAGTCTCCTAAAGTGTGAGAAAATAAATTTATGTTTGTTAAAGCCATCCACTTGTGGTAATTCTGTTATAGCAGCACTAGATAAGTAAGACAGGGATGGAAGCCCATTTGGAGTAGGTTGAAGTAATAAATAAATAAGGAAGTGGAGAGAGGGAGTGTAGACACTCTTTAAGAAGTTTGGCTGGAAATGGATAAACAAACTATGGTACGTATACACAATGGAGTACTATGCAACAATAAAGAACAACAATGACTCTGCGAAGCATCTCATAACATGGATGAATCTGGAGGGCATTATGCTGAGTGAAATAAGTCAATCACAAATATTGTATGAGACCACTACTATAAAAACTCATGAAAAGGTTTACACACAAAAAGAAACAATCTTTGATGGTTACAAGGGAGGGGAAGGGTGGGGATGGAAAAATACTAAATAGACAGTAGATAAGTTGTAACTTTGGTGAAGGGTAACACAGTACACAATACTGGGGAAGCCAGCACAACTT